GAAGCCTGCCTCCGCAGCAGCGCTAAGGGATTGGGCCTGCCCTCTGCCACCCGGGAGCAGGCCTAAGCCAGCAGGTCGTTATCTCCCGAGGGGTCACAGACTGCGAGAGGGCACAGGCCAGGCTGAGGGACCCCCCTCCCCCCCGAGTGGCATGAATTTCATGCACCAGGCCTCTAGTATATATATAAAAGCCTAAGCGACTGGTCAACTGGTCACTATGATGTGCACTGACCATCATGGGGGCAGACACTCAATGCAGGAGCTGCCCCCTGGTGGTCAGTGCACTCCCACAGAGGGAGCGCCACTCAGCTGACCAACGGGCACCAGACCAGGGCTCACGGCAGGCGAGTGGCTGGCGAGCTTCACTGCGATGGCACGAGCCTCTCCCTGTCGATCAGAACTGATGACCCTGCAGCAGGCACAGCCAGGCTGGGGCCAGGATGAGCAGGAGCAGCAGGCAGTGTTGGACTGCCGGCTTCGGCCCAATCCCTGCAGGCCATGCCCAGGGACACCACTGTGCACGAATCTGTGCACCGGGCCTCTAGTTCGATAATAAAGAGACAAATAACACACTTTAAAAATAGGCAATGGATTTAAATAGACATTTCTCCAAAGAAGATATACTAGTACAAATGGCTGATACCACATGAAGTGATCCCCGAGAAGGGGGGGGGGGGTCTGCTAATTATAAATCTGATAAGGAACTTGCATCCAGAGTATGTAAAGAACTCTTAAAATCTATCTATATAATAAAAGCCTAAATGATTGTTATGGTGGAACGACCAGAATGACCAGTTGCTATGATGTGCACTGACCACTAGGGGGAAGACGCTCAATGCAGGAGCTGCCCCTGGTGGTCAGTGTGCTCCCACATGGGGAGTGCCGCTCAGCCAGAAGCCTGCCTCCGCAGCAGCGCTAAGGAACAGCAGGCTGAGCATAAGGAGCAGTCTAGCCAGAGGAAGGTAAGGAGCAAGGGGTCCTAGACTGTGAAAGGGATCCTGGACTGTGAGAGGGATGTCCCGGACTGCGAGAGGGCACAGGCCAGGCTGAGGGTATCTTCCCCTCCCCAAATGCAAGAATTTTGTGCACCGGGCCCCTCCGAACAACCGGTCGTTATGATGCGCACTGACCACCAGAGGGAAGACGCTCAATGCAGGAGTTGCCCCCTGGTGGTCACTGCGCTCCCACAACAGGAGCACCGCTCAGCTGACCAATGGGCTCACAGCTGGCCACTGCTGCCCGGAGATGGCAGCAGAGCGGTAGCAAGCCTACTGTGTGGCTTGGGCAGCAGGCACACTGGGGCCAGGATGAGCAGGAGCAGCAGGCAGTGTTGGACTGCCGGCTTCGGCCCAATCCCTGCAGGCCATGCCCAGGGACACCACTGTGCACGAATCTGTGCACCGGGCCTCTAGTTCGATAATAAAGAGACAAATAACACACTTTAAAAATAGGCAATGGATTTAAATAGACATTTCTCCAAAGAAGATATACTAGTACAAATGGCTGATACCACATGAAGTGATCTCTAACATCATTATTCAAATGCAAATCAAAACTACAATATGATATCACTTTATATCCACTAAGATGTAAAAAAGATGGACAATAGCAAATGTTGATGATATGGAGAAATTAGAACCTTTTAAAATTGTTGGACATGTCAAATGATGCAGCCTACTCCATGAGGAGTTGGGAAGAGAGAATGGGGAGTGACTGTTAAGGGATATAGGGTTTCCTTTTGGAGTAATTAAAATGTTCTAAAATTAGATTGTGATGATGGTTTTCTAGTGGATATACTAAAAAACACCAAGCTGTACACTTTAAGTGGGTGAATTTTATAGTGAAATATATCTCTATAAACATGGTAGTCTTACCTCCCTGAGTATTGTAAACCTGCCCACTGCTTAAACGACCCTTGTCATTTTTCTCTTCTGATACTAAGGTGCTTTTTAGGCAAAATGTGACCATGTGGAAAAGGAAGGATGTACAATTTGGTCTTACATTCTTCTACGTTCTTACATTTCTTCCCCAGCCCAATACTATTTTAATCCCCTCTCATTGATGACTCAACCCCCACTTAACGGAATTCAAAATATCTTTCTCCACTGATTTCCATTCCACTCAAAAATTTCCATTTCCTCAGTGGGTCCTTATTTAAGGTAAGCAGTCTGTTGCATTAGTTTCTAACTCATAATCTCTGATATTTATATTTTAAAAGGTTATAGAACAAGGGTCAACAAACTTTTTCCATAATGAACCAGATGTAAGTACGGGGTGTCCCCCCAAAAATGTGTACACACTTTGAATGATTATAAAGTCAGTACTGACCAACATACAGTTCATTTTCAACTTTTAAAAGAATATATAGAAATGAGTAAATTTTTTTGTCAATACCTGTTTTCAAACTGATGACCATTCTGGTCCAGGCACTGCTGATAACACAAAGCAATGGGATCACAAACATCAAGAATCATTTCCTTCGGTATTTGTGTGCCCCCAATTCATTGACTCTTGCAGTTTTGTACTATAAACTTTTTCTTTTATGTATCCCCATAAAAGAAAAGTCGAGTGGATTATTAGGATAAATTTTCTTTGTTCAGAGCTTAGTCTGGCTTTACCCATTATTTCAAATCAGTTAACCTGAAAGGAGTGAAAATTGAGTTTTCAGCTGTTAAAGTATAGATACATTTTTGGGGACACCCGGCCTATATTTTGAGTTTTGCCAGCCGTAAGTGTTCTGTTGCAGCTACTCAGCCTTGCTATACCATAGGGTGAAAATAGCCAAAGACACAATGTAAATGAATTGATGAGGCTTTATTTGACCCTGATCAAATCAAGCCATAGTTTGCCAATCCATATAATTGATTTCTTCATTTTAAGGCTCAGTATTAAGACATAATGGGACAAAGAAATTTAAGTGCAATAAATTTAGACAGTTATGTCCTCCACTTCCACCACTAATAAAAAGTTACTTCATTTTCACCTGGCCGGTGTGTCTTAGTGGTTGAATCAGGAGGTTGCAGTTTGATTCTCAGTGAGGGCACATGCCCAGGTTGCAGACTCATCCCCAGTAGGAGGCGTGCAAGAGGCAGCCAGTCAGTGATGCTCTCTCATCATTGATGTTTCTCTCTCTCTCGCCCCCCCTCCCGTCCTCTCTGAAATCAATAAAAATATGTATATTTTTATAAAGTGATTTCATCTCTTTACAGTTTTATCTTTTTTTCCAAGGTTATTTTGGAATAGAGGTCAAAATTTTGGCACTTTTGAAAGTTTACCAAGCCTTATTAAGAAAATATCAGACTTTACATAACCACTAAGGAGTATGGCACGAGGGTTGAGGTTTTTGTTAAGATTAGGTCTCTGTTTGAATGAATATAAGTCTACATAAATGTACTTGTGTATGGATGCATACAAATTATTGTGTTTTGTGTGTATATTCTTTAAATATACTTACTGTGGAATATATTTGGATAGTCTCTAAAATATCTCAAATTTATTGAATAGCAATGTAAGAGGACACATGAATTTAAGGTAAACTAGGAAAAAACAAATATAGTATGGCTAGCATCTCATACTATTCTGAATTGTGACATATTTTTCTTTAGTTTGATGTTTGTTTAGCTTTCTGAGCATACAATAATTGTTTATAAGAAATGTAGTGTTGCCCTGGCTGGCGTGGCTCAGTAGTTAGACCGTCAGCCTGGGCACCAGAGGGTCATGGGTCTTATTTCGGTCAAGGGCATATACCTGGGTCGCAGGTTCGATCCTGGGCCCCTCTTGGGGTGTGTGAGGGTGGTAACCAATATATATGTCTCTCTCACATTGATGTTTCTCTCTCCCTCTCTTTCTTTCTCTCTCTCTCCCTGCCCCCCCTTTCACTCTCTGAGAATCAATGGAAAAATGTCCTTTGGTGAGGATTAACAAAACAAAAAAAGAAAGAAATGTAGTGTTGAAATGATACATTGTTTTAGATACATGGCAATTATGTTTAATATAAAATTATATTTCAACTAATATTTCCAAATAACAGTGATTAGAACAACTTACATTTGCCATATCAATGTTTGACAAATTTCTGGGTAATACAGAATGACCATCATTCATTTAATGGATTTCTTTAAAAAGATAAAACCTTAACTCTGGGGAGTTTGATCTACTCAGGAAAATATATTTGGGGCATATTATACACCAACATTTTTTTTCTTGGAAATTATGTCATTTCATATTACATCATGACAAATATTTTAAATGCTTCTGACCATATTAAACAAATCTGTTTCAGGTTTTGTCAAATTTTGTTTTTCCAAATCAAGATTTGAATATTTTATCTCTATTAAATTAGAGCTGACCCAGATAATAAATCAGTTAAAGTATTGCCCTTTTTCTCAATCAAAATGATTACATTGCATACCTCCTTCTACCTCTTTTTAGCTCCATTCTGGTAGTTATCATTTATTTATTCTGTCAACAAATAGTTGATAACTTGTATGCCAGCCATTAGGAACAAAATCGTGAACCAAATAATCTTGGCCTTTGTAGAGCCTATATTCTGGAGTGGAGAGAAAACAATAAAACATTGTTTGTTTGTTTATATCTATTTATTTTACCTTTTTTTCTTTACTCGAACTTTTTTTTTTTTTTTTAAGAGAGAGGAAGGTAGAGAAACATCAATGTGAGAGAGAAATATCCATTGGTTGCCTCTGGTACCTGCTCCAACCATGCCCCATGGGATAGAACCCCCATCCTGGATATGTGCCCTGACCTGGAATCAAAACGCAACCTTTTGGTCCAAACTATGCTCCAATCAACTGAGCCACTGGCCAGGGCTGTTTATTGTTTAATATAAAAGTTATGTAGTGTGTTAAAAAATAAGTTGTGGCCTTACCCTACAGAGTAGGGTTAGGATGTATTAATCTTTAACAGAATAGCACTAATCTGTTATCTAAGGAAACACTGTCTATGTGAACATTGTCATCTTATTGTTTTCTTTCATTTTATAGTTCCAATGACAGGATTCACACAGAGAGCAACCATTGATCCAGAACTGAATGAAATACATGTCTTATCTGGACTCAGCAAGGACAAGGAAAAGAGGGAAGAGAATGTCAGAAATTCATTCTGGATTTATGACATAGTGAGGAATAGTTGGTAAGGAGCTCTTGTCTGTACTGCAATTCCAATTTAATATTTCTTGGGGTTGTATATTCAAAAGAAGAGGGAACTGGAGGACTTGTGTTAATTTGTGATGTCAAAACAGGAGCACTTAAGAGAACTTCTTCCATTCAGTAATGGAGGGTAGTGCTCAACAACTAAAGAATTTATTACTTTCTAAATATGACATTTATTAACAGTAAAAATGAAAGTGTACTATAGTTTTATTGTGAATAGTAAACGGGTTTTTAGCTCTTTCAGCCTTTGTTTTGAACCTTCATAAATGCTATTTGTGTTTCATATCATGAGGTAGGTTGTTCTTAAGTGAGGTTTTGATGGACATTAAAAGAACTTAAGAACTCAGTTCTAATAAATCAGATTATTTTATGGGAATGACCAAAACTTTAAGATTTGATGTAAACAAATTTATAATTGTTTTGTTGGTAATTAGACATGCAATTAATTTGCTGTCTACAACTGTATTAACATGAGAGACCCGGCACATGAAATTCATGCACTTGGGGGAGGGGGGATCCCTCAGCCCAGCCTGTGCCCTCTCACAGTCCAGGAGCCCTTGAGGGATGTCCAACCGATGGCTTAGGCCCTAAGCTGGGGAGCGGGCCTAACCTGCAGTCAGACATCCTTAGTGCTGCCACAGAGGTGGGAGAGGCTCCCACCGCAGCCACTGTGCTCTCCAGCCGTCAGCCTGGCTCAGGCCTTCTGGCTGAGCGGTGCTCCCTGGGAGCACATTGACCACCTGCATTGAGCGTCTCTCCCCTGGTGGTCAGTGCACGTCATAGTGACCAGTTGTTCCACCCTTTGGTCAATTTGCATATTAGCTTTTTATTAGATAGGATTATGTGTACTGCTAATATTCTAGGATAGCATGCCTTACAAGCAATGTCTTGCAGGTCTTGTGTCTATAAAAATGATCAAGCTGCAAAGGATAATCCAAGTAAAAGTCTTCAAGAAGAAGAACCCTGTCCAAGATTTGCCCATCAGCTTGTATATGATGAGTTACACAAGGTATCCTAACTACATTGACCTGTAAATTTTCCTTGACCTACAATCTGAAAGAATCCCCAAAAACATATGTTTTTTGTTTTTTAAGTAGATTTGAGTAAAAAATTATAATACATAGTATGTAGCAGATGTTCAATATTATTTTCCCCTAAAATTCCTTAAGAGAATAAACATTTTTGTATAGATGGTGACTCCTGGCACTTTCCTCTTTTGATTATGGTCAGTGGCTGCTTCCTTAACTCATAGATCAGATACATAGCATGGCCTATTGTATAGTTTTCTGCATGTGGGTTCCATGTCTCATAATATGAAAAGGTATATATGACTTCCTGATTTTAGATTTCATTGTGTAAGAAATCTTTTTGTTTTTCCTATCTATGAGTGACGTATCTTTTCTATCTGTTTTGTGAAATAATATGGCATTCTGAAGTTTAAGTGTCAGTGTTCAGAATGGTTTCTTTAACTATTTCTCCCTTAAGCTTTACATGCAGTTTAGTAATTGGGCTCAGACTATATATAGTAAGCCACTGACTGACCTGTATTCTTTCCATTTAGGTCACAGATGAATATTTAAACTTTATATCATTTGAGACCTTCATGTTAAAGATATCATGGGAATGGATAAAAGCCCTTTCTCTTAGTGTCTCCAAAATTAAAGGGTAAATGAATTTCTATCCTTAGGATAGAAATAATATTGCAATTCTATTACACTATTGAATATAAATTTATTTTTTTGATTAATCTGCACCTGAGGATATTTTTTCCATGGATTTTTAGAAAGAGAGGAAGAGAGGGAGGGGTAAAGAAGGAAGGAGGGAAGGAGAAAGAGAGAAAGAAACATCACTGTGAGAGAGACACATCAATTGGTTGCTTCCCGCTCGCACCCCAATGGGCTGGGGATTAAACCTGCAACCCAGGTAGAAACCTGCAACCCTTGACTAGAAATCAAAACCAAGACTCTGCAGTGCAAAGCCCAACACGAACCACTGAACACACTGGCCAGGGCTTAAATATAAATGTTTTTAAAATTTCAGAAAATGCTTTTAACACTTTGTGTAAGTACAGAATATCACTAAAACTAAATAATATAATAGTGAAATTATTATTGCATTCCTTTTACATTTATTTTTTGGTACTAATTGAGTAATGGAATATTTTAAAAGTTATTTCACAAATTATATGTGCCATTTAATATTTGACCTTAAGGCTAAAGCTAAATTAAAATGCTAAAATTTTAAAAAGTTTCTAATTGCTGTTGACCTTCAGTGATTTGACATCTTTTCTTTAATAGTTTTTAAAAATATGTTTTTTATTAATTTAATTTTATTTTTTTTATAAGAGAACATTTATTTTTAAGAACACAGAGTTAGAAGAAATAATTGGTAGAAGAAATGGGCTTATGAAACAAGTTATAGAGGGAAAGGAAGGGCCCTTGGAGCTTAGAAGTGAGGGAGGTAAAGGTGACAGGCCTGGAGGAGATGAGGGGAGAGGCAGTGCAGGCGTGCTCCCAGGAGGGAGAGATTGGATCCTCCCTCCTAAGGGTTTTAAGGGTGGAGATTTTGTTTTTTTATTAAATTTAGAGAGAGAAGAGGGAGAGAGTAACATTGACTGACTGCTTCCTGTACACCCCTTACTGGGGATCAAGCCCGAAACCAGGGCATGTGCCCTAACCTCGAATCCAACCAGTGATCTCTTGATGCTTGGGGTGATGTCCAACCAACTGAAGCACACCGGCCAGGTTGTCATCTGTCCTTTTTAAAGATATAATTTATTGCCAAAGCCGGTTTGGCTCAGTGGATAGAGCGTCGGCCTGCGGACTGAGGGGTCCCGGGTTCGATTCCGGTCAAGGGCATGTACCTGGGTTGCGGGCACATCCCCAGTGGGAGATGTGCAGTAGGCAGCTGATCGGTGTTTCTAGCTCTCTGTCTCTCTCCCTTCCTCTCTGTAAAAAGTCAATAAAATATATTTTTTTTAAAAGATATAATTTATTATCACCAACCCTTGATGAACTTGATAATCCCCATTATTCTTTGCCCTCAAACTATACATTGGATTAGCTTCTTGCTATTGTTAATAAACAAAATATAACTGAGCAAATTTAAAGGTCACATTGGGTTTTATTAAGTCATTTATGAATTCAGCAGCATCTTATCTAGCAAGCAGAGAAATTCTCTGAGGGATTAATTCTTGCAGTGGTCAGTGTAGCTCAGTTGGTTGGAGCATCGTCTAGGGCATGTTTGGAAGGCAACTGATTGATGTTTCTCACATCAATATTTCCCTCTCCTTCTCCCTCCCCCTACCCTTGCCCTCCCCTTTCTCCCCCACTTTTCCTGTCTCTAAAATCAATTTAAAAAAACTTTTTAAGATGGAAGTCTTTTATAGAAAAGAGGGTGAGGCAAGTAAGTCATCAATAAGAGAGAAATGAAAGTTCATGAAGGAAAGTAAAGAGTTCAGGTAACGCTGGCTTCTCTTTGGGTGAGCTGTGGAGTTTCAATTGGCTGGGCTTCTTGCTGGACAAAAAGAAAAATCTTCCTTCCTCCTGCTGAGGTGGTAAAGCAGTTGTGCTTTCTATTTGGGAATGGCAGGGCTTCTCTTCCTCTTGGGGTATGTAATTGATGTCTTCCAATATGGGGGTATTTGACTTGCAGTGATAGGTAATTGACCTCTATAGTCTATCCCAACTTCAGTTTTAGTTGAGGTTTTCTTTATTCATTTTTACACTATCATTGCTTTTGTTTCATGTTTCCATTGTCAGTGTAATTGTGGTAATAGAACTTATTTTAATATAAAATGTAATTTAGGAAGTAGTCACAGTAATTTAAAAAGTAAAGTGGAAACTTGAGAAAAATAAAGAGAAGCAATAATATTTTGATTCTTTTTTTTTTAATATCAGTAAAGCTAAGAAAGGAACCTGTAACACAGTACTAGCAAAATGAAGAAGTTTTACTATGACCTAACATAGTTTCTTAAGTATGCATGTGTTTTTAAAAGTCTGGTTTGTTTTGTTTATTACAGGTTCATTACTTATTTGGTGGGAATCCAGGAAAATCTTGCTCCCCAAAAATGAGATTAGATGACTTCTGGTCACTGAAGTTGTGTAGGCCTTCAAAAGATTACTTACTGAGGCATTGCAAGTACCTCATAAGAAAACACAGGTATAAAAATAATTCATGGAAAACTTTTATTTAACTTTATCAGCTATTGTTAGTATTACCTAAGCTCTGGAGACGTGCCTTTGTCTTTGGAAAGTTAGTAACATGAAAGTGTAAACACTGTGAAGGTCATGACTTTGTAGGTGCCCTGTTATTCTCCTAATTTTCTTCTTTCAAAGGAAAACACAAGGTGAAAATAGATACTGATGCTAAATTTTTAAAATATAGAACAAGGAAATTTTACAACTGTTAAAATAATGAAAAAAGTTTCTGTGAAGGTGATTAACTTACCATCAAGTAACTTAAGGCCTAACCACTACAAATTATATCAGTTCTAGATTATTGACATATGCCTGACCTGTTGATAACTTTAACTGTGAATGTGATGATATAGTTGATTAATAATATCTTTATAATTTGATGTTTCAGAATACAACTTTAAATAGAATTAGTTTTATGTCATTACCTTTGCTAATTAATTATAAAATCATGTAATTAAACATTTTCATATATGTCTCTTGAGTCATGTTTGCTTTTTAAAAAGCCCTACAGGTGATAAGCTACTAAAAAAATGTAGAAAAGTGTATCTGTCCTTTTGGTTACTGATAGTGTTAGATGATAAATATTTATAGTTTGGAAGGAGAAGTTAACCTTTAATGATGGTAATAGCTACCATTTATTGAACAATTTTTGTGTGCTAGATCTTGTATGTTATTCTCACAATAAGCCAGTGGAGGAAGAACTATTACTATCAATTTTATAAAAGAAGAAATGGGTTATATAACTCATCTAAGGTCACTCAACCGTAAGTGACAGATAGGATTTGATCCTGAGTATTTTGATTCCAGAATTCTTCATTTCATCACCATTACCATCACCTCCTCCACCACCATCACCACCACCACCACCATACACACGCACAGCGGCACATATTAATATACTAGTATGTATACACATGTATGCTTATATGTTTATTATATAGTGTTTTATATAAAATATAAATACATGAAAGTCTGTGTAGATATAAATTAGACTATTCCTTTATCATATCATGTTTACTTATTGTTGCTTTTCACAAGTTATACTTGAGAGATAAATTAATAGCAGAAGCTAGTTCTGTTTCTTTGGCATTACTGTGAATAATTAATATATTTTCTATAGAATCTATAGGAGAAAGGGTCTGATTCTTCACATTGGATGGCAAGAATAAATTCTGTTTTATTAACAAGATTTAAGTTTGAGGTACCTTTGCTAATGTTTACATTGCTAAATTTTATTCTTTAGTACTTTACTTAATGTACTTAAGGTACTTAATATTAAACTTTGTTTTTATAAGAATATGGGAAAATTATAGAGCTCTTTCTCTACCTTAAATATAACAACTGGTCATTGGAATGTTAGAGTGAGCTTTTTAAAAAAGTTTCCTGACCAAACGTCCATTAGAGATTAATGGAAATTGTTTAATGCTTCATATAAAGAATTGGAACTCACAAATACTTCCCTCTGGCTTTTAATTGTAAAAGTATTGCATGCGTAATAATAAAGAAGAAAATAAGTCTTCTCTCCCTACCAAAAGAATTGAATCACTTATTATCCTCCAATCAGGAGTAATATTTTGGTGTACATCCTTCTAATTATATGTACACACTATTGTTTTGAATCTGATTTCTTTCAGTGAATGATGTATTATAAACACTACCATGTTAATAAATACAAGTACAAATCATAATTGTAATGGCTGCATAGCATTCTACTTATGTGTAATTCACTTAACTAACCTTCTTTTATAGAATATTTACTCTCAATTTATTTGCTACAGTTAATATTGCTGTAGTTAAATAATATTGTTAATATTATATATTTCTATATGCACCTCTATCTAAAAATTCTGTAGGATAGTGGTAGAATTTGGAAATTATCGTTTGCCCTCCTTTCCACAGCCCAGTCATCCTCAGAAGTGTTATTCTTTTTTATCTTTGGAAGTTGTTTTTCTCCTTTAGAAATATATCAGTGGGCAAGTGAAATGACAGTTTGGGAATCTGAAATATTATGTATTAGGGCATGCTTTAAGTTTTAAGTACAATCATCATTGCTAGTGACTTAATTCTAGTAAAGGTGTAGAGTGAAGAGTGAAAGTGGATGAACAATAAAAGAATAATCAGTAACAAATCATTTAGACTCTTAAATATATGATGAAAGAGCCTTACAAATGTTGTATGAGAATAAAACATGAAATAAAATGACTGAAATTGAAAGGCAGTAAGTTTGTGTGGTTGGGCAAATAATCAACATTGGAAATTTTCTACTATGGGAGAGAAAGTGTGCTAGCTTATTTCAGAACTTCAGAAAAGCTCTTGAAGGGGAATATAAGAATGTTTAAAGACCCTTTTATATAGATTACACATTTATATATATTATTTTCAGTAGAGTAATAATAGCATAATAATATGGACCATAGTACTCTTCTGATCTTGACTACTCTTTGCCCCTAGTTCTGTAGCTAATAGTTATATTAGAAAAGTATTATACCTGAACCTTGGATTGATATTCAAGCCTTCTGACTTAATCTTTCTGGAGATTACTTAGCTCATGTGTAAAATGGACAGAGCAACCATCTAAGGCAGTGGTTCTCAACCTTCCTAATGCCACGACCCTTTAATACAGTTCCTCATGTGGTGGTGACCCCCAATTTCATTGTTACATATTGAACATAATTAAAGCATAATGATTAATCACAAAAACAATATGTAATTATATATGTGTTTTCCAATGGTCTTAGCTGACCCCTGTGAAAGGATTGTTCGACCCCCAAAGGGATCGCGACCCACAGGTTGAGAACCACTGATCTAAGGGGTTTTTTTTATAAACATCAGTAAAACTATTCATATAAGAAATATTTATTGAGCACCTTCACTGTGCTAGATATTGTCTTAAGTTCTGTGGATATGTCAGTGAAGAATATAAAAATTCCTATCCTCGAGTTTCCTTCTTAATGAAGGGAGGCTAACAGTAAGCTTAATAAGGAATTTATATGTTAGATAGTAAGTCTTAATGAGAAAAACTCAATCAGGTTAAGAACTATTTTTGTATAGGTGAGGGAGCTGGGGATGTGATTTTTAAATAAGAGTATTAGGATAGACCTCACTGTAAAGAAGACATTTGAGTAGAGACCTAAAGAACATGAGAGAATGGATCATGTATAGATATTTGAGAGGGCAAGTGTTCCAGATAGGTAATAGACAAGGCTCTTAGGTTAAAAATATGCCTGGATTATTTGAGAAATAAATTGAGGAGAACAGTGTGGTAGAAGTGGAATAAGTGAAGTGATTATGGTAGAAGACAAGGTAAGAGATAAAAAAAAGGGGGGGGTCAAATTGTGAAGGCTTTTACTCTGAGTGAAAGGGTAGCATTGAAAGATTTTATGTTGAGGAGTGACACATTCAGACTTAGCTTTTACTTAAAAAAATTCTGGATTTTCTTCCAGAAGAACTGGGTAAAAGGTTGTGGCTATTTTTACTCGGGGGAATTCTTCAGAAACGGCAAGTTATGTAGTTCAGTTTGATGCACTTTAGTGCTAGTGTCCAACCCCAGCAGGTCCAGTGGTCCCCAAAGGTGTGGACGGAGTCGGCGAAGAAGGAATGACACGGAGACAGCGTTCAGTTGATCAGCAGCCTTGCCAGGATCTCTAGCCACAATCTCCAGCCAAGTTCTGTGTCCATGTTCTTTTGCTAGGTTCTCCAGCCAGGTTCTCCAGGTTCTCCAGCCAGGTTCTGTAGCCATGTTCTCTCGCTAGGT